TCCCTTGCGGCAATTTTTAAAAATAATCTGTTTCTCGTCATCTTACCATCTGACAACCACTGACTGGTTTTCCATTTCTACAGTTTTACCTTTTCCAGAACATATATGAACTTCTGAATGTGTAGAAAATACATTTAAAGTGCATCCATGTTGTTGTGTGAATCAACAGTTCACTTATTATTCCAGAGTTGTATACCATTACATGAAGATACCAATTCATCCAGCCACCTACTGAAGGATGATTACTGTCGTTTCTGACTTGGATAAGCCTGATACAAGCACTCACATGCAAGTTTTGGTACACAGGTTTTTCTGTGAACACAAGTCTTTAGCTCACTTGGGAAATACCTAGGAGAGACATTGCTGGATTTTATAAGTGTACTTTAAATGTTATCTGTTGTGTGTATATGCCCTGGCAATGCATGGAGGTCAGAGACTAAGCTGTGGAAGTTAATTCTTTCAACCTTTCTATTATGTGGGTTCTCGGAATTAAACTCAGGCTGTCAGGTTTAGTGTGTTTACCTGCTAGGCCATCTCACTGGTCAGATAAATATACTTTTACTTTTTAAACAAACTTCCGGGCTTTCCCAAAGTACATATATTTTGCATGTTCATTAGTAACTTTGAGGAGGGTTTATTTTAGATTCAGGTTTCAGGAGGTATAGTCCAACCTGGGTAGGGGGCATCATGGCAGGAGAGGTTCAGTGGAAGCTTGCTGTCTAACTTACTCATACCTTGACTGATTAGAAAGTAGAGTTTGGTCTGAATGAGGATGGGCTATAACCTTCAAAGGCCTTCCCCTAGTGTCCTACTTCTGTCAGCCAGCCTTCAACTTCAAAGGTTCCAGTCTTGAAATTGCACCTTCAGATGGGATCAAGTGCTTGAACACATGGACCTATGGGACACATTTCCCATGCAAATCACAGTACTAGTGTGGTGATATTTTTGATCTAACAAATAAAGCTTGCCTGAAGACCAGAGTGCAAAATTAGTCACACTAATTAGCCATAGAGGCCAGGCAGTGGTGGCATACACCTTCAATCCCAGAAGCCACACTAGTTAGCCTTGGAGGCCAGGGAGTGGTGGTATAAACCTTTAATCCCAGTCCTCAGGAGACAGAAGCAGACAGATCTCTGTTAGTTCAAGGTCACCCTGAGCTACATGAAATAGATCCACACAAAGGTGATCCCAGCACTAGGGAGAATATAAGGAAGGAGGAGACAGAAGCTCAGTGCAGTCTGAAGTTTAGTGGAGACAGAGGCAGTCTGCAGATGCAGTCTTTGGACAGGATCATCCCTTCCGTCTGAGCATGGGTAGAGGTGAGAACTTTCTAGTGGCTGGCAGCTTTGCTTCTCTGATCTTCAGCTTTAACCCCAATATCTTTCTCTAGGTTTTTTTTTTTTGTTGTTGTTGTTGTTGTTTTTCAAGACAAGGCTTCTCTGTATGGCTTTGGAGCCTGTCCTGGAACTCTTGCTCTGTAGATCATGCTGGTCTTGAACTCACAAAGATCTACCTGCTTCTGCCTCCCACATGGTGTGACTAAAGGCATGTGCCACCAATGTCCGCTGTCTCTGGGTTTTTTTTTTTTGGTTTTTCGAGACAGGGTTTCTCTGTATTGTTTTGGAGGCTGTCCTGGAACTCACTCTGTAGACCAGGCTGGCCTCAAACTCACAAAGATCCACCTGCCTCTGCCTCCTGAGTGCTGGGATTAAAGGTGTGTGCCACCAACGCCGGGCTGTCTCTGGGTTTTTATTATTAGTACCAATTAGAATTCCTGCTACATAGTGGTTTCTGAGCACAGATGGTTCCCAATTCTTCTAGTGGTACCCTGTATGTGAAATATGCTTTGGTTCCTTGGTAGTTATTTTTGTCCACTCTTTACCTGGGTTTTGACTTCTCTTCCTGCTGCATTCTTAACAGAATCAGTTATTTGCAATGAACCGATTTTAATTTTCTTGAGGTAGGATTTAAACTGTGAATTCCTGGCTGGCCTGGAACTTGCTATACAGACCAGGCTGTCCATTCACTTGAAGCAGTCTGTGTGCCTCTCAAGTGCTGGTATTACAGGTGTCACTCTGCTCACACGCCCAGTCTTTGACACTTGTTTAAAAACATTTCCGTTTCCTTTTTGGTGGCAGGGATGAAGCCATAGCTTCACACATGCTAGACCAGTAGTACTTTATCACTCCCGGCCCTTCACCGCTTGACATTTATACTGTGTTATTTCCACGGGAGGAGGGAGAAGTCCACTGATGATCGTCAGACTCCTGCCTCTGCCTCCCGAGTGCTGGGATTAAAGGCGTGCACCACCACCTGCACCACCACCTGCACCACCACCACCAGGCTAATTAATCCTCTTTAAACCTTAAAGAAGAAAGCTTTTGGATTAAAGGTGTGTGCCAGGCTGAGCCACACCACAGCTAAACAGGTTTCTCCAGTAAATAATGCAATCACAGAGTTCACAGTGTGATCAAATATCCTGCAACATGTGTGTGGGTACATACAAGTGTGTAGGTGCACTTGGAGTCCAGGAAAGGATGTCAGATACCCTGGAGCTGGAGTTATCGGTGGTTGTGAGCTGCCAGCTCTGTAGACCAGGCTGGCCTGGAACTCATAGAGATCCGCCTGCCTCTGCCTCCCTAGTGCTGGGATTAAAGGTGTGTGCCACCACTGGCCGGCTGCAGTACATGCTTTTTAGCCACTGAGCCATCTCTCTAGCTCCATGTTTAGCTTCTTCACCAATCATTTTGGGTTGAATGCATGATTTTGTGAATTCTGAGTAGGCACCCATCTTCACCCAAGTATAATATGCAAAATCATTCTTCTTATATATCAACCAAAACAATCAAAATTGGGAAATTAACTGTCATATTCCACCTCTCTAGTCTTGAGGCCTTCCTAATTTCGCAAGTAGCACCACTAATACATCTTTCCTGGGAGAGCCATGTCAGAGTCACGGGCTCCATTTAGCTGTCATGACTCTTCTTCATCTTGGAAGTTTACCTCAGTTTTTCCCTGACCTTCACAATTTGATGCGTTTGAAGATTCGAAACCTGCATACAACATTTTTCGGTAGGACTCTGTCATGGTTTCTCAGTAATGGTCTCAGGTAGACATCTTTAATGAGATTACCATGAAAGACATACTGTTCTCCTACTGCATTCTATAGGTACACATCATTTTTATTTATTCATGATTGTTAAATCAATTCAGGTGGAGTTTTCTGAAGTTTTCTTTTAGAGTATAGGATTCAAAAGCCAAGTTTTGGGTGCTAGGTGTACCTAGTGCTCTTGGGCTGGTCTTCTCTAGGCTCCCATGGTACATATAAGTAGGATTCCCATGTGTACACAAGGAGGGGGGTGGGAAGGAGGAGAGAGAGAGAGAGAGAGAGAGAGAGAGAGAGAGAGAGAGAGAGAGAGAGAGAGAGAGAGAGACTTACAAACCATCTTCCACAAAGACATGGTGTCTCCAAGGCCACTCATTGAGGGTAGGAAGCCTTCTTGGCTTAGAAGCTCCTGACCTATACGAGCCAGCCTATCTCATAACAGCTCTGAGAGTCCATTTTTAAGCCCTGACATTTAGGTAGTAACTAGGACAGCATAAAGGGATGGTTCCTGCTAGCTGTTTATTGCTCTGAAGCCAGAAACAATGTACCAGTCAGAAGTCATTTTCACCATAAGCAACGTAGTTTGGTATCCCGATTGACACTGAACCTTCAACAGGTTTCCAGAACAAGTTAGAGAGTTGGCTAGAAGTAGTATCTGGTGATGAGGAAAAGGGAGATTTTAAATCTGTACACAGTAAGTGATCAAATATTAGATGCTCATATTTTAATGTTTTTCTGGTGAATGTTTGAGTTAAAAAAGTTTAGTTTCCTGTCTAGGAGAATTTCAGTTTCTGGTTCATAATTGAGATACACATCTTTTTTTCATATATGATTATAAATACTATGAGGTAATCTTATCATTGTGAATCCTTTATGTCTTTCTTAAGATCGCCACTGAAATCATCTTGAAAAAACTGATGTGGCATTCCATCTTGCACAGTACAATTAGTGAAAGGTAACAAGGGGTTCAAGCAGTTTAGATATGAATTCATTAATATGCTTCTGACAGAAATCTAGTTATTCAATGAGTCTCCTAGTCAGGCTTACTTTTTTGGGCAACGACTTCATGAGGTTAAATGAAAGGTTTTTTTTTCTTTCTGAGAAATAGTTTTCTTCCGTTTCTTACATGAACACTCTATATACATTGCTTATAAAACCAGGGATGTTTATGAGACAACAGTTGAATTTTACAGGAGGCATTCTTTCAGCCCCCATGACTACCCACGAATGTCGATTAATACTTTGCCTCTCTGGGTCTCGAACGCTCACTGAGCAGTGACCAAGCTCCATTCAGGCCTCTCCAGGAGCCCCCTTGGCCTTCCCGGCTCACTTCTGCCCCAGACCGCCCCTTCTAAGGCGTCCTGCCCAGGCGCTCCCTGGGACGCTCAGAAGCCGGTCTGTGAGGCTGCGGTGCCTATCCAGGCCTCGTGCCCACTGCTCGCACCGGCGCCACGCACCTCGGCTCCTTTCCCCGCGGTTCCGGGCCCCGCCGGCTCGCGATGGCTAGCGCGCGTGCGCGAAGGCGGCGGCGGCGGCGGCGGCGGCGGCGTTCCCGCGCACGGCCCCTGGGCGCGCGGAAGCCGGGCTCGGCCGTTACCGCCGCCCGCCGCGCTTCGGTTCCACTTGCGATGGCGGACCGGCCGTCGTAAAGCGCAGCCGGGCCGGCTGCGGCATAAGACAGCCTCCTTTTTGACTTACGGCTATCCACCTTTCCCCAAGCTTTGATCCTCGGCCTTCTGGCCCGGCGGGAGCCGTCTCCGTGCGCCGCTCCTCTTAGCGCGCGCTGCCGGGCCTCGCCTGGGCGGACGGGCTCCCGGGGGCGGGCGGGCGGGGAGGCGATCTCGGGCGCTCGCCCGCCGCCCGCCGCCCGCCGGCTCTTCCGCCCGCCTTCCTCCCGGCGTGCACCGCGGCGCGGCCATGTTGCCGTAGCGTTGTTTTCTTCCTGCGGAGGCGAGGGGCCGCTGCGGACGGCGACGCGCGGGCCTCGCCTCTGCTCGCTCGCGGGCGCCGGCCCTCGCCGCTCCCCGCCTCCCCGGCCCGCACCAGCGCCGTGGGCCCGCCAGAGGCTCGGGGAACGGCTGAAGGCCGGGCCCGGGCACCACCATGGCGGCCGCCCTGGGCGCGGGCGGAGGAGCAGGCGCTGGAGGTACGTGGGTCGCGGCTGGCGCCGAGGGCCGGGCAGCCTTTGTGTGGGGCCTTCGGGTCGTCCCGCCGCAGCCGGAGCCGCCCCGGGCCCGCCTGTGCTCATCGGGCCGGGAGCGCGGAGCGTTAGGCCCGAGGCGGTGTCGCGAGGTGGGCGGCGGGCCCGCGGCAGGGTTAGGGGGTCGGGCGGCCTCCCCGGAAGATCCTTCCCGGGCAGCCCGTCCGGAGGGCGAGCAAAAAAATCGCTGCTCATTAGAGTCCTTTAAATAAACCCATTGTCATCTGAGGAAAACCTGTTAGTGTTTGGCTGTGTGCTTGGACGGGGGTTTAGTTCGGGAACCAGTTTCTGGGGTGGGGGTATTTTCGTTTTTCATTTGGAAACGGTTTGGGAAGACGAACCATCGTTAAGTAAAACCGCGTTTTGTCGAATGAGAGTGTTTTAGAAAAAAACGTAAAGCAGTACTTAAAGATGACGTTTCAGGACTTGGGTCAAAGGAGACCCTTGGTAAAATGTGGACAACAAAAGCGTTTGCCACCAGCTCGTTGTAGACACTCGAGCTAGTCTGCGTATTCCAGAGGCGTTTTGTGAATCTTCCAGATGGGCGGGCGTGTTAAAACAACCCTGTTAGGGACTCTGTCCCAAATACCAAAGTGTTTGGCCGAGGCTACCTGCCAGAATGTCTTTTCTGGGATGGTCTATGTCGTTTCCAGCTTAAACAAATAGCATAACGAATCTAAAGCTTTCTAGTTAAATGTGTAAAATTTTGTCTGTCGTATTTGATGAGAGAAGGCAAAAGTTAAAGTTTTATATGTAAGTCTCTTATGGAAACCCTTAGGTCAAAGCTGATTTTAGTCAGAGATGAGGATTTTCTTTTAGTTTTCCATTTGCTCCTCACTAGTGTGCATTGAGGTCTTCCAGAGACTTTGTGGCGTATGAAAACCATGACACTGATGGGTTAGGGACTGTGTACATGCATGTTCTTTTAAATGTCTCATTAAAAAATTTAAAATAGTCAATACTAGTAGATAGCCACATAAACAATATTTGGGAGCTGTATATTAATTTTTTTAGGTCAGAAAGTTTAAGGGTTGTAGTTTTACAGGGTTAAATAGGTTTTCTGAAGTTTGGAATTTTTCTTTCATTTTTCTACCATGCCAGCGTTCACATAGACTCAACCCAAACAGTTGTGTATGAGTTGGTCCCTGCGACTCAGCCCTGCAGTCCTGGAACTGCTTGCCTCCTTACTCCCATGTGCAAGGCACTGATCCTGCCTTCTTGAGCGTCCTGATTCAGCAGGTTTAGGCTACTGAGGGAGGAGGCCTTACCAGAGAAATCATTGACTTAAATTTGTTTCCCATCTCTGTGCCTTCTCCATCCAGTAGCACTCCTGTTTTCCCCTGAACATTTATCTTAATCTAATCTTTTCCTTTTTTCTTCTTTTTTTAAAATTTTTTTTTATTTTTGGTTTTTCGAGACAGGGTTTCTCTGTGGCTTTGGAGGCTGTCCTGGAACTCACTTTGTAGACCAGGCTGGCCTTGAACTCACAGAGATCCGCCTGCCTCTGCCTCCCGAGTGCTGGGATTCAAGGCGTGCGCCACCAGCACCCGGCTTCCTTTTTTCTTCTTAATTTGGCCTTTTGAGTAACCTCTAAGACCTATGAGAACAAGCGTGACATTGCCATACACCCCGAGTTTCTGGCCTGTACATGTGTTCAACAAATACTTGTCTAATGAATTAGAGATTGATTTGGAAAAAAAATACTGTGCCCTTTTGTCTATCAGATGTTTGCTATGTAGCCAACAAAATCATTACATTAGAGATATTTACATTTTAGGTAATACCTTCTTTAAATCTAGATTGCTTACTTGATACCTCAGTTTAGCATATTTAGCACAGTGGCTTTCAGACTTTTTTTTATAGTTACAGCTCACATTGCCATTGCCATATAGTACTTGCAAAAAAATTTCATGGCTAGTTCTAGTGTGTCTTATGTGCCAAACTCTCAGATTTCTGTTTCATTACATTAAAAGGCTGTTGTATACCTGGTATGGGCTTGTATCTTGGCACTTGGGCAATTGAGTTTGAGGACACCCTGGGTTACATAGAAAGAGCCTGTCTTTACCCCTCCCTAAACAAAACCTGATTGTTGCCTAATCTAACTTCGCTATTAAACTCAATCTGTTAAATATCCCAGAATTGTCATTTTAAAATCTTCTCATGTATTGTAAGTGGTTGATGTTTTGGGGACTCAGGTGGTGGGGTGGTGATGATGTTGGTAATTTCCGTGTTTAAAATGGAGCCCGACACTAATAGAGTCTTTAGGTGGCCAAAATAACCACAGAAGTGCAATTATGTGTTGGTGTGAGACTTAGAGGAATGCAGCATACCCTCAACTTTAGTTTGTAGTTTTGTAAAGATACTTGCTGTTTCAAGTAAGGGTGGGAGAAACATGAGGGCCTTGCTGGTAAAGAGAATATTGGACATTGAAGATTAGTATAAATGCAGAAGTAGGTCTTTAAGGACACATACTGTAGCAAGTAATACATTTCAAGATCTAGCGCTTGCTTTGTAGTATAAAATACTAAGTCAAAGTGAAAAGTCGGAACATAAATTTTAGCAAAAGTCCTCCAAGCTGATTTGTATTTTAAGACCCAACAGTTCATAAAAACAGTTCATTAACTGGGTTAGGATGAGTGCCTTCCTTAAATTTATACTTGTGAAATATTGTTTCTTGGGTGAGCCTTACTTAAGAAAAAGATTGAATTAAGGATTTTCAGACATACCTAATACAATAATGAGACCAGCATCAACATTTATCAACATTTTGTTGTTCCTTGACTCAGACAACTTATTTTTTAATTGTTTTTTGAGGCAGTCTGAAACTCACTATATAGAGCAGGGTGACTTTGAACTTAAAAGAGATCTGTCTACCTCTGCCTTTAAATGCTGGGATTAAAGGGGTATACCACTACACACAGCTCAATTTATGACTTAATGTATGTATCAGTACCAAATATGTCTCAAAATTGGATTTAATAGGGCATCAAGATGGGTCATTGGGCAAAGGCACTTGATGCCATCCATAGAATTCCCTTGTGGAAGGAGAGAACTAACTCCACGTCTGCCTGCCTCTGCCTTCCAGATGATGGAATTAAAATTGTGTGTGTCACCATACTTATCTATTTTCAAGATTGATTTTCTAATTATGTGTGTGCATGTAACTGTAGGTGCCTGTGAAGGCCAGAGGTGTTGGATCTCCTGTAGCAAGACTTACAAGTGGTCATAAGCTGCCCATCGTGGGTGCTGAGAATCAAATTCCAGCTCTCTGTAAGAGCAATACACTCTTAACTGCTAAACCATCTCTTCAGTCCCTGCAGCCTAATTAATTTTTGAAGGATAGTTTATTAGATGCAGAATTTTTGGCTTACAGTCTTTAACTTTTCTTTCAGCATGTTAAGTATTTCATCTTATTGCATTCTGGGCTCTTTGGTTTCTGATAGAAATTGACTTAAATATAGTTAAAGATCCATTCATTGTATATGAGGAGTCACTTCTTGGGCATTTCAGAATCTTTGACTTTGAGAGAATTTAGTTTTATATGTATATGATTGTTGATGTAGGTCTCTTGAGTTCTTCCTGCTGGAGATCTGAGGTTCTAGGGTGTGTAGGCTTTTGTCAGATATGGAAATTTGGGGCCATTCCTTCAAATCTTCCTCACCTTTTCTTCTCTCACTCTTCATTGCATGTTCTGTTACTCTCTTAGTCTTTGTTCAGTTTTATTTTATTATTTTTTTCCTTTAGATACTTAGACTATAATTTCAGTACTTTTTTATGACTCAGTTTTGGGATTAAAAACAGGCCATTTGAATGTTATGATGTGGTTATTTGGGGGAATTTTTAGGCTATATCTACGCCTCTGAGTGCTTATTACTTGTGACTTGTTTGGTATTTAGTTTAAGTAACTTCTCTGAACTGATTTCATAGACACTGTCCTTTTTGTGTAGTTACTTAAGTCTCCATCTTACTGCTCAGCCATCGAATTGACATACTGTTTTACATTCCTGGAACCACAAAATACAATTAAAAAGCACACCCTGCTTTTTGTAAATTGACTGTAGCTGAAATACTTCAATGTTTATTAGGCCATCTATAATTCTGCCTTATTCTACCTCCTGCTTACCCAGAGCCCAGTCAGAGATGTAAATCTGGGTCCTCTCAGGTGTTTTCTGAGAGCGTGTCTACACCTGGACCTACATGAGGTGCTCTTGATTTCCAATTCCCAGTGCTTTTCAAAACCTTTTCATCATCCTCAGCCTCTTGTTTTCCAGGCTTTTTGGTGGGTGGATAGTTTCTTTTGGCTACAGTTGGTCACAGTTGCTTTGGACTACTACTGCCTAGATTGCTCCTTTAGCTCTGAGCTCCAAGAGGGTACAACAAGGGCAGCCTCTAAGTTTACCCCAGAGATCCAATGGGCAGGTCTCAGTGCAGTCAGATGCTTTGAGGGTGTGAACAGGCACTGTTAAGCTTAGGAGAGAATTCACAGCACTTCATGCTGCTGCTTAGTAACTTTTCTTTTTCAAGTTCCTTCAAGTGTTAACATTTTTTTTTTTTTGGGTAAGATTCCAGGGTTCAGGAAAAGTTGATTTGTGACAGTTTGTAGTTTGACAGTTTAATGTTGCCTCAGTGGCCAGACAGGTTCTGTTCCACTGTCTCTAACAAATTAAAAGGATTTTATAGTGTCTATAAGGTGTGTTTGCCACTCCCCCAGATGTGTTATATATGTGTTTGTGTGAGTGTGCATGTGTGTGGAGGACAGTGGTGCATGTATCATTGCCATCTTTTTTGAGACAGGTTCTCACTGAACATGGGACTCATCCATTTGAGTGAGCTAGGCTGACTGGCAGTGAACCCCTCCTATGCCCTAGCCCTGGGGTTACAGATGCAAAAGCTTCTGGTCCAGTTTTAGTGGGTGTTGGGGATCTGAACAAAGTCTTTATGCTTGT